CTTTTTCCAAAAACACATTTGATTCTTCAACTGATAATTTAACTTTCAATAATTCTTCTGTCCATGTTGAAAGTCTTATTTGCATTTGAAATGATTCATTGCTCAGACGTTGCGCATCATTATTCAATGTTTTGATACCACCTACGACAATATTGAGCATTTTATTAAGGTCTTTTAATTGAACTACAGCAAGATCAGATGCTTCTGTCATTGTTGTTCGAGGAATATCAATATCCATTTGTCTATCATTTAATTGCAATAACATTTGACGAGTCACTTTGAGTACCGTATGTTGATGTTGTTCAGTCAAATAATGATCTTGCATGTTGGCACATGTAATCTAGAAAAAACATGAAATTCGAGATTTTAATTTCATCTGAAAAATACTCATACTCGTTCATTACAACCAAAATCTTTCAAGATACAGTCAATAATCAGTTGTTGACATTCGAAGACTTTATGCTCATTAAATTTGTTAACTGAATTGAATTGTTTACCACAATATTCACATTGGAACTTTAAATGTAATTGTTCAAAATGTTCCTTTGGAACAAAAAAAAAGAAAGAATATTCAAGAATAAAACAAATATAAGATAAATTACTTGATATTTACTCAAGATACCAGTCCACTGGCAAAAAGAACATTCAATGAGTATTGATTTCATATCATTTTTAAAAACTCGATCAAGTAGCATCTACACGAAAGAAATATTATGTTCTCTTTAATTATTCAAAAATATGTTACGTCGCTTCGTAATGTTTCAGATTGGCATTGCTGACATTTAATTGTGGTTCTTGATGAGGAACAATGAAAAATAATACTTTAAATAAATAAGAAAACTTACTCTTGTTCAGTACTTAAACATGTTTGACATTGACGATGACCACATTCTGTTAATTGTACAGGATCTCGTAGTATCAATGAGCATACAGGACAAATGTATCTCTGATCAAGAATGTGTTTATTTTTTGCATCAATGCCAACCATTACTTTAATTTTTTTTGTTGATCAATCTATAAAGAACAGAAAATTTTCAGAAATACTAAAATCAACTACCAAACACATTACTTTTTAAATGAACAAAATTAAAATAATCTTTGAAAATAAAAAAAAAACGTGTTAAATGATGTATCTAGAATTCACGCATTAGTATTAACATACGATAAGAATTTCAAAGTTTCAAAATGAAGAAAAAAATGATGAGTTCGAAATAATAGATCCATTTCTTACTATATCAATCGAACGTCAATAAGCACATCGAAGTATTCCTCTAAACTTAATTAAATCATATCAAAAAAACGATTAAATTATATAGGCTCATTGCAATTATGACTATGACTCATGGGTTGACTTCTTTCATCATAAAATTACTAATTTGCGGAAGCGTGTCATATTTCTTTCAAAGATTAGTCACAAGTAGCTTCTAATAAATCCAATATCTTTAAAGACTAATTTCAAATAGTTGCCCAACACATCATATTTTTGAAGGCATAATGAATCATCAAGTTTTGAAGTGTGCAATGTTTTTTTTCATTTTATTGTAGGACAAAGTGATCACAAACTTTCCAACGACATACGATTAGTAATTGTATTTTCGTATTTTTGTGTAAGCCGATACTAAACAAGTATTTTTTATTGAAATATCTGAACCGTTTTGCTTCAATTTTGAATAAATTTAGTATAAGAACCATGGCAATATTTGTTGCATTTAAAGCAATAATAGAGATTTCTACAAACAAAAATGATTTAACAGTCGTGAGAATGTAATGGCACACTTTTATGATTTTATATCTTGTTTAATCCCAGAAATTGATTCAAAAAACTTATATTTGTGAATGAAATAGTCAAAAAAATCGCCTGATGGAAAATGAAACCAGAATTTACTTGATACGATTTAAACAAAAGAACTAAGCATATTAAAAATTCATATTTATTATAAAAGCATTTGACATAATTGCTCTTAAATATCATTATGTACTGAAATGAAGAAATAAAAATCATGAATAATTCACTGCTGTGATTGTATGAAACTAGAAATGTTGCTATTAATTCCTAAGATTTATGGAGTCCTATAATGTTACATTTGTGAACACTCAACTTCTGTGCTAATTCATGCAGTTTTTTTAGTGTCCTTCGAAACAAAAGCTGCTCTAACTGTACTGTTACTGTGATGAAATCATTAAAACCTCTTCCATGTTTCTCCAATGCAGCTATGATTTCTCAAGAAACTTGTTGTTATCACATTCCGATTGACACGATGAACATTTGTGATAGAGTGTGAAGGTAACAGCTCTTTGAGATGTAAGCAAAGAGCCTAACACTTATTATCTTCAACCTCAACATCAGAAAAGAACGAACGACTATGATCGAGGTAAGATTGAAAAGAAGTTCGATACTGTTATTCACACTCAAATCTACGCCCAAGACCTATACCCTGTATATTCAAGATTGAAAACATGACTGACGTTGTAGATGGTCACAAGTAGTTAGTGGAATTGGATGTTTTAATATGAATAACGACACTATATAACTAAACTTTACATTAAGAACATGTTTTCTTGCGTCATTACTAAACACTATGTTATCAATTTAAAAGAAAAACAAACTCATATACTATCAGTGAAAGAGTAAAACTATACAAGCATGTAGAACACGTTATTTCATACATTAGATAATTTCGAAAAAAAAAAGTACGAATACAAATGACTAATAGTTGAGATACTGTTCTATAGTAATTTTAAATGTTTGTTTTATTATTTTTTACAAAAATAAAGAAAATGCTTAGGGATAGATCTATGTTGATATAGGATATGGAAAAAAAATTCGCGACAATTTTCCTATCGATATATCATTGCAATTATTTGAGCAATTTCATCTAATAAATAGTCATTTCAAAGAGCGTAAAAAAGCGTACATATTGTACAAAAAAAATAGAGTTCTAACTCAAGAACAACGAAAAAGTAAAACTAACATGACAAACACACAATGAAAATAATCATGTATTTATTCTACACAAAATCGACATTTACAATATTGCTACAAAAATATATCGATTACAAATTTCATGTATGAGAACTTTTTTCCATCTATTAGTTTAGAGAACAGAATAAGAAACGTCTTGAATAAAAGGAACAATTCGTAATATTTTTTTTACAAGAAATTACCATTTAATTTTGACAATAATTATTTAATAAATCGATTTATAATCAAATCTTAATATCATCAATAAAAATTATTGAATGATGTTAAAATTGCTTACTTGAATAATCAGAAAAATATTATGACTCAAACTAAAATAAAATTTAGTTCTTACTTGATAAAACTGATGATATGAAGCAAGAGTTATTTATATATATATATACGTATATGGAATACATTGCGAAACACCGCATTCAGTAAGTGTTAAAACCAACAAAATCAGTCCAAAACTTATAATAGAAATTTACAAAACAAAATAACACATGACATCATGACTCATGTACTTACCAGTAAGTGAGTTATAAAAGGTTGATTGGATTTCTCCAAAAGAATTTCGTAATGCGTTCTATTTATCAATATCAATTATTATTTAAATCTATTAGAAAAAGCTTTAATTAAATTTGTAAAATAATCACCATTTATATAGTAGAACTTCTATTTATTGAAACCGAATGCTAAAACTATCTGATATAATTTTTTTGGAAATTTTAACATGATTTGTATTTTGCGCTGTGATAATTTAAAATCCATATATGTTAATTTGTGTAAATTATATAATTGAGGAGAAAGAAGAAAAATTAAATATTGATTAAACTAATTGATGAACAGCAGTATTGAACAAGACATTAGTTTCACGAACAAATAACTTGTAGCTATTTATACCTGACTCCATATTTCAATCAAATCAATGAATAATAATTACGTGGTATTATTCAGCTAGTTAAACTTTCACAATCATCTTGAGTCATTTGTGTTTGTTGGAAATTTCCAACAACAAGTACGGTAATTCGTTTCTATTTAAAAATAAGTAAGGACAAGTAAGTAAGAAAACCTTTAAACTATTCGTGATTATAATACTGATTAATTTTACAGAATCCATATGATGAAAATTCAAGTGTAAAACGAAAACGTACTATGAAAAGAATATATAATATTCATATCAATAAGACCAGAATAAAAAGGTTTTCCAAGTAATATTACGTAACACATTTTTTGAGTTATTTTTCGAACAGCAAGCAAAAAAAACACTATTCAACTTTTTTCATGATTTTTCTTTCAATTTAGAGTGCCAAAATCTAATCCGTGAAAATTTGAGTGAGAGAAAACATATATTAATGACAAAAGAATAGTACATTTATAAAAGATGTTAGAATAAATATTAACGTTTGTAAGATTAAGCAACAAATTCAAAGTGTACTGAGAATCTTTGCGTCATAATTATTGATTAATGTGTAATTTTAACGAATTTTAAATTCAAAATAATTATATTCAAAACTTCTTACAGTTTTTTTTAAATTAATTCAACAATCAAAAAACTTCTTTATTCAATGAACTAAGGATTAGTATTGATCAATATCGATTTAATGAACCACTGTTTTTACTGCAGAACTATGATTTATTCAATGAAATCTGATTTCAGTTTCATTTTTGTGTAACTGAAAGTAGTATGAAAAGTCTAACCCTCATTGCATCATAGATGATTCATAAAGAGACAATATATTTTACACATGTCTTACATAACCTGATAAAAATGATATGAAGATTTGTAATATCATACTTAGAATGTCAAAAGAACGCAATGTAAAATGCGGTAATATAAATGTTATTGTTTCGTACCCAGCTCGGAAAATCTGACGTAAGATCTTGTCATCTGCGTGTAAGATCTTGCAATCTGGACGAAATCTTACAAGAATCTGACAAAAAATCGTAGTCTAAGAAATCTTGCATCAGCTCATACTATTAGATTTGTGAAAGATCTTACACGGTAACAGGGTCTTTCAAGAATCTTATAGTACGACGGATCAACAGAATTCTTAGACGACGATTTTCTGTACAATTTTCATCGGATCTTACGAAATCGTACAAAATCAGAGGTACGATCTTGTAAGATCTTACTGTCTGATTGTTTGACCTGGGTAGTAATGTTTATTCTTGTTTTTCTAACTCGATAAAAACTTTGGAAAATGCATCGATCCATTGAAGATTATCAGAAAATTGTATTTGAACAATTCATAAAACAATATTTCAAAATATTCTAGAGATGAAAGGGACAAAAACTTTGATTTTTCTAGTTTTTGCATGTTTATTTAGTATAACAAAGAAAAAAATTCTTCATTAACACATTGAAACAGAAATAGCACACAAATATAAAATAATAATAAAAAAGTGAGACGTCAACCATACGGAAACAGAGTAATATTTTTGTTTTTGGTTATGGTTGGATAGAGCTTGTCGAGTTATCTTTAAAAACGTTACTTTTAAAATAATCAGAGAATATTTTTCTAGTGATACTGAGGAGAGTTACATTCAAATTGCAACACAACAAAAACATAGAGTCTCGAATTTCTGAAAGAAATGAATATCATATTCAGAATCAATACAATAATTTGCATCGAGTAGTATACCTGACACTTAAGACTAATGAAAAAATAATTAGTTGTTTGCCAAAAAGACGTCTTCAGAAAAGTTGACCACTAATTATTTTCACTTATCCGATGTTCACGAAACTTTCAAAAGAATCTTTTTTAATTGCTGCGATACATATTCATTTAATGCAAATACTTCTGAACTGAGATACAGATTTTCTTACAACCTGGGTTGTCAGAGGTTTTTCACGATTTTTTTGTCACAGCAGTACTTTGAGAAAAAATAAAGACATATTAGAAATCAACCTGAAAAACTGCATCGAATGATATAACGTTTACTAGTTTTTAAAATAAAAAGTTTTATCGGCAATCTTATTTTTGAGTAGAAGAAGTTAATATTTCAATGAAAAAAAAATCGTTTTT